CGTGGAGGAAGGGGGGGGGGGGGGGAGGGGGGGAGGCTGTGCCCAGTGCAGAGTCGGGAAGATGGGGCTGGGGCCAGCTTCTGCCCCTTGGGGCGTGTGCCAGCTGAGGCCGCAGCTCAGGGCAGTGGCGGCCCCTGTGGTGGCCTCCTGGGCTTGGGTGGCCATGGAGAGGCCAACACATCCCCGAACTCAAAGATCCAGAGCGGGGCTGCGATGCCAGTGGGCGATGCCCCCGTGCAAGGGTGGCCTAGGGAAGCCCATCGCTTTGCACAATTAAAATTGCTTTTCAGAAGGACCAGGACGCATCCGTGGGAGCTCCCTAAACCCTCTGCACCCAAAGGGGGTGGAGCCCTGCTCTCCTCCCCTACCCTGGGGCCAGACCCCCAGGTGGCACGGAGCGGAGCATCAAACCAGCCGTGTCATAGCTGCACCCGTGGTTCTGGTCCAAGCCTGGCATTCCCAGAGCCGGAGGAGCATGGGAGGTGTGTCCCCGCTGTATGGACGAGAAGACCGAGGTCTGGCTGCCTCCCTCTGCCTCCCACAGCTCCTCACCGAAGAGCAGAGCTGCATAGTTCCAACCCCAGCCCTGCCGCTCACCAGCTGGGTGGACCTGCCTGAACGCTGGGCCTGGGCGCTGTCCCTCAGCTCTTCAGCTCAAGGCTAGCGCTCTACCACTTGAGCCACAGCTCCACTTCCGGCTTTTTTCTTTTTGCTTATGTGGTGCTGAGGAATCAAACCCAGGGCCTCAGGCGTGCAAGGCAAGCGCTCTACCACTGAGCCACCTTCCCAGCCCCGTCTGCATGTTCTTTACTTCCCTGGGCCTCCAGCATATTTGTGCACCAGGAACAGGATCAGGCTTCGGCCACTGTCGCTGGGACAGGTCTATGGCTCTCAATTGGTTTTCAGTTTGGCAGGAGAAAGGTGCTATTTGGGGGGGGGGGTGGTCTGGTGCAGAGCTTGAACTTGGGGCCTGGGCACTGTCCTGAGCTTTCTCGCTCAAGGCTAGCAAGCCACCACTTTGAGCCACAGCTCCACTTCTGGTTTTCTGCTGTTTTGTTTTGCTTTAGAGCCCTGCCAGGGCTGAGATCTGAGGACTGTGGTTTGAAGCCAGCCAGAGCAGGAAAGTCTGAGAGGCTCTCGTCTCCAACGAACCAGCAAGTGGAGGTGAGGCTCAAGCGGCAGAGCGCCCGCGCTGAGTGAAAAAGCCAAGCAACAGCCTCAAGCCCTGAGTTCAAGGCTCAAGGCCACTACTGGGTACACGCGCGTGTGCACATACACAGCCACACACACCAGAATTCAAAATAACCTGCTAGACATTTATCACGGCCCATACCCTAAGAACATGGGAGGACCTGAGAGTCAGAAGCACATGTTTTCTACTATAAGGCTGTGTCTTGTAGCCCCTGGCCATTGGGACTGGACAGCAAGTCCCAGAGCATCCTGGGCGGACACAGCACCTGCGCCTGTGGACGTCAGCATCTTCTGCTGTCAGGGGCCGGGGAGGCGGCCTGGGCACGGCCCGGGCACGGCCCTCAGGGCACATCTGGGGCCGGGGCCGCTCTGTTCGCTCTGTTCGGGGCCCGGCGCGCACTCCTGGGGGGTGTCCGGGGGCTGACGATCTCGTAGTATTCGATGAGCAGCTTGGTGAACAAGTGCAGTGGCACCAGAGCACTCAGGGAGGCGGGCCTCTGCCAGATCAAGTTCAGCCCGAACAGGCAGGCCAGGTTCCAGCTGCTCATCTTGTTAAAGATGCTTTCCTGGGACACCTGCAAGAGACACGGGGACCTGGAGGTCACGCGTGGGCCATGCGTGTGCAGTTAAGGGCGGTGGTGGGCCAGAGTCCGTCCCCACACAGGGAGCGGAGGGCCTAAGCTCTGGGGAGAAAACTGGCCTCTCCCCCTCTCCCCACGTGGGGCCTCAGTTTCCTCAGCTGTAAAAGAAAGGGGCTGGCTGCGATGCTCTGGGGGAACCCCAGGTGTGGCCCTGACTTGTCCCCTGGGGTTTCTGAGTCTCTCTCTCCCCCCCCCACCATCTCCCCTTCTACTTTGGCACTGAAGCAGGAGCCGGCAGCTGCGTGAGGCCTGGCTTGGCCAGTGGGGGGCAAGCGCAGGACGCACTGCCCACGGGCTCCCTTGAAGAATGGGGGAGAACAGGGCTCCTCGTTCTTCCAGCCGACGAGGGGCGAGCTCAGGACGCCCCACCGGCCCAGCCTCTGTCCTGCTTCGTGAGCAGGAGGGCCGGGGCGGCACCAAGAGCAGAGATGGGTGAGTCCCGTCCCAGGGCGTGGGCAGCTTGCGCAGGAACGTCTTCAGGATCACGGCCGGGACGTGGATGTCCCTGTAGAGGTCAAAGTCCTCCGGCTTCCCTGCAGGCAGCTCCAGCTCAGTCCGGGTAGCACTGCAGTGGGGGCTCGTGGCGGGGCTGCCTGCCCTCCCTGGAAGGGGTGCTGGTTCCCAGCCCGACCTGCCCCCTCTAGATGCGTGGGTAACTGGACTCACTGCTGCGGGGGCAGACACTGCCTGGTGAGCACGATTGTGTGTGTGTGTGCGCGCCAGTCCTAGGCCTTGAACTCAGGGCCTGGGATCTCTACCTCTGGAACCACAGCCCCTCTTCTGGCTTTTTGGTGGTTAACAGGCAAGAAGGATCTTCCAGACTTTCCTGCCTGGGTGGCTTTGAACTGTGATCCTCAGATCTCAGCCTCCTGAGATTACGGGTGTGAGCCATCTGTGCCCTGGTTGGCTTGGCTTTGGGGTGTCCTCAGCTCAATGCCATTCTCCCATGGGAGGGGCTAGCTGTCTTACCCTGGCCGGCTGGAGTCTGGGCCGAGGCCCCCAGCACTTGGGGGCTCTCAGGCAGCACCCCACCTTGAGCTTCTTCTGGTGCTAAGGAGCGGCTGAGGGCTGCGGCAGGGAGGGGCCGTGGGCGGGGCCTGGGTGGTGGCAAGGTGGGGTGTGGGCGGGGCCTGGGTGGTGGCAGGGTGGGTGTGGGCGGGGCCTGGGTGCTGGCAAGGTGGGATGTGGGCGGGGCCTGGGTGATGACAAGGTGGGATGTGGGCGGGGCTGCGGGCGGGGCCTGGGCGCTCACCTTGATCATACAACCTCTGCACTTGGCGGATGGTCGGGGCGCTGGCCGACCTCCGGAACAGGCCCTCCGTGCGCAGCCCTGTATGGGGAAGAGACATGGGGCATCCCAGAAGTTCCAGCAAGCACACCGGGCTTCCCGAAGTTTCTGTGGGCTCCTCCTGTGCCTGAATGGATAGCTCTGAAGCCTGGCTCTAGCTCTCCCTCCTCCACGTGCCTGGCACCTGGCGGTCCCCAAACAGGTGACTTCCCGTGAGGCCTAGGGCTGAAATACCCAGCGCGGGGGGGGGGGGTGCCATGAACTCCGCTGAGCAAGGGAAACGCTTTGCAGTGACGGCCACCCACTGCAGGAGCCCTGACGGTGTCCGCTCACCCCGGTCCCGGGATGGGGTGACGGGTCGGGGACCAGGAAGCAACGGAAGCCAGAGGCGCAGGTGCCCGCACGGGCGCGCGCCCGGAGGGCAGCCACTGCTCGGGGCCACCCTGGACCCGGGCAGCCGGGGGCAGACAGGCCGCAGGCCGGGGGCAGACAGGCCGCAGGCCGGGGTGCCCGGCCCGAGTCCCTCGTGGTCACGCCCAGCGGCTCCTCCACCCCGTCCTCCGGGGCCCCGGCGGGAGGAGACCCTGACCACAGCCGCTCAGGTAGGACACGGTGAACCTCGGCACCGCAGGGATGAGTTCGCCGCCATTCTTCTCTCTGAGGCTGGCGCTCCGGGCCTCCCCCCGGCCCTCAGCTGTGCCACAGGAAAGCGCCGGGGTGCAGGGCCAGCCTCCTGCTGCCTCCGAGCGCGGTGGAGGCCACAACAGTGGCAGTCACCCGTGATCAAGGCAGATATCTGGGGCTGGGAAGGTGGCTCAGTGGTAGAGCGCTTGCCTTGCATACATGAGGCCCTGGGTTCGATTCCTCAGCACCACATAAGCAAAAAGAAAAAAGC